TATCCTTCCCAGTCCCAATATTGTAGAAGGCGCCACTAACCTTCCCAGTCCCAATATTGTAGATGGCGCCACTAACCTTCCCAGTCCCAATATTGTACATGGCGCCACTAACCTTCCCAGTCCCAATATTGTACATGGCGCCACTATCCTTCCCAGTCCCAATATTGTACATGGCGCCACTATCCTTCCCAGTCCCAATATTGTACATGGCGCCACTATCCTTCCCAGTCCCAATATTGTACATGGCGCCACTATCCTTTCCAGTCCCAGGCCGCGTCCTCACATACAATCACACGCAGCACCTGTCCTTCCTGGCAACGGCCATGCATGCCGCACAGATCTGTACGGGGCCGACTCTCAGTGTGAATGAGTCCTAAGGCTCTGTTCACTTTCTAGAATAGTTCACCTTATTGGCATACTCCGTATGTGTGGCAGCGCAATGCGCGTCTGTTGGCAAGGTGAGTTGCGGTGCCATTCGGAATAAATGGCACAGGTTCACACCGACGTGCAGCCGAGTAGTGTGAATGGGCCCTAAATGTTTGTGAGCCACGGTCTGTAAAATCTGAATCTTATTCAAAGTTTCAGTGTGCCCCGAACTGATATTTCACCTTCAGCAGACCAGATCACCCTCCAATATGTTTTCCTCTCTCCAGCAGCCAGATCTCCGTTGTAGAGATCCAAGCTCATCCACCTTCCACAGCCATTGCAGGGCGCTTGTGAGACTCCACGTTGGTGCATTCTGCTGGAGTCCTCTTGGAGTCCACAGAGCAATCGGCGTCCCTTCCTAAAGGGAATCTGTGCTTTGCCCTCATAAGACCTTCTTTGCCAAATTGACCCTTTTTGTATTTTGTAAAAAAAACAACAACAAACTATTAGCCACATACTGCACCAATACAGATGATGTGCATGCAGCTACACCGATTACTGAACGGAGGGCACGCTCCTTCAACATTAAAGGAGAACTATGAGGGGAGTGATTTTCACTCAGCCTCATAGTTCGAGCCGACGTGTGACGTCACAGGTCCGCTCAATAGATCGGGAAGTGAGCTCACTTCTCGATCATCTCCCTGCAGGGATTCCCCCCTTTCCGATCCTCCGGCGCTGACTGGAGGAAGGAACGGGGGAGGGGGGCGGGTACAGCTGGCTCTGCCTCTAAATAGGCAGAGCCAGCTGTCACTCACGCAGCTGGGTGGATCCAGACAGTAATGTCGGGATCCGTCCCGGCTGCAGCGGTCTCAGTATACCGCGAGCTGCAGCCCGCTATATACTGAGCTTAGGGTGACGGGAGGACGCTAGTTTGTGTTCTCCCATGACCCTTAGGAGAACTATGGGGAAAAGCCCTGACCCCATAGTTCTCTTTTAAGTGAAATGTTGGTTTGAGTCAGCCTGCGCTCTTCAGCTAATAGACTGCCAGGCAGCTGAGTAGTTGAGCCAGTGATGGAGCCAAAGCTGCAGCTAGCAATGCAAGCGTGTCCTCGGCATTCATCTCCTCCTCCCATCTACTTCCAGGTCTATAGCTAACAATGCATGGCTCAGAGTACGATATCTTTGTCACTGTCTGTTGTTGGGAAGCGGCATGGTTTGAGCTATAATTCTTCCCGTCTCTAATTCTTCTTCCCGTCTCTAATTCTTCTTCCCGCCTCTACCCCACATCAGTTTGGCTTGTAGAGCTTCCTGGTGGCTGGGTGACTTGAGGAAGAGCAATGTGAGGTCTATGGTGGACAAGGAGGAAAGTCCCATCCAGCCTTGTTGGGACTGTTGGGACCCCGAGCTTTCAGAGTATAGATCTGTGGGGTTTGGGTTAGGAGAAAGGAAACCTGCAATACATGGCTTGCCATTGCTTACCACTGTCTGAAAATGCCAGATGCCTGGTTGTCTCTGGCTTCAATACGGAGTCACAGACCTGGAATAGGCATAGACCGAGTGAAGTCAGAACACCTGATCTGCCTACTTCCGTTCCGTTACTCAAAGTGCTGACATTGTTATATAAGCATGACAGTCCATCGCCTTTCAGATAGGTCGGCATTGGCTGCCTCCAAATTTACCTCCGTAGAAGTGGGACTGTTCTAATAAAGTGCCACAGCTCACATGTTGTTTTTTTTTTAATGATGGGTGGAGTCATCGCTCTACCAAGTGCCTGGTTCTGATGAGTGTTGTAGGCCAAGTATAAGTATTTTAACAAGAAAATAACTTTTACTTCTTTGTAGAGCAGTTGGGGTACACCCGGGCTTCTCTGTAAGGCACCAAGTTTCCATGTTCCTTGGCATTGGGCTGGTCCCTGCCACCTATACCACCCTACTGTTGGCCCATGGCTGTGGTACGTAGCCTCCTATGGCAGTAGTAAGATAGGAGTGGAACGGGGTTGGATAGATCTGGTGCCCACATGGTTGTGGTACACTTTATACTTCAACCATGTGAGCACCGGATCTATCCAACCCCGTTCCACTCCTACCTACTAGGTGGCAGAACCCAGGTTTTGTGGGGGACTCTGGCAAAGGCACCAATTTTCAGATGAGTGCCATTGAAGTTCTGCGAGTATCGGGTTTGCCTTTGCTTTATGGGACAGGAAATGTGGAGTTTCAGAACCCAAAAACACCGTACGTGACTTCTGTCTCCCCCGCCGGAATTGGTTGCTCGGATCCCGCCATAGACCGATGATCCTCTGCAGGTCCCCTATAAGCCGCAATGACGTGGCATTATTTTAAGGTTTCCGGAGCAACTCGTTTTGGAGGTCAGGCAGTGCCTTGTCTACGCTTCCCTTGCACACGGACCGTCTCTCTTTTCTACAATGGACCAAACAAACTCAAGGGAATCTTGTATTTTCAGTGTTTGGCCTCCATCTTGTACTCTTAGATATATATTTTTGTTGTAAGTGCCTTGATCTCTACTATTATGTTACTATGTTGTCGTCGGACATTGTGGGGGGGAGGGGCATTTTATACGAATGATTGTTGAAATAAAATTGCAAATCTGTTTTGTAAACTGACAGATATTTTCCCAAAAAAAAATGAATTAAAAAGATGAAGAAGCATCATGACGTGCCTGACGCTGATTCTCTCCTCGGAGTAATAAGAGCTTTGGATGTCTGTCATTGTTATCCTGTTTGGTTCCAAAGGTGGCTGGTGGTGTGTGGACCAACCTGGGTTTAGCTGGCCACGGAGACTTCAAAATCATTTGGGAAATACAACCAATGCAATGCAGGAGCTGAAGGTTAGTCAGGCTTGCAGTGGCCGTGCTTGCTGTGAAGGTTGGAGGAGGTACTTGGGTGAGGTGGTGGCTTGGGTAGGCCAAAGGGTTGGCAGGAGCAGAAGTGGTGGCATAGGGTAGATCAAAGAGCTAGCAGTAGATGGGCAGTGGTGCAAGTGGGTCAAAGAGCTGGTATTATATGGGTGGTGGTACAAGTAGGTAAAAAAGCTGGTGACAGATGGGCAGTGCCACATGTATGTCAATGAGCTGGTATTGGTACATGGACTGTGACAAGCAAGTCAAAGGTGGCAATAGAATTTTAGTTTGCACACATGGTGGAGGGCTTTAGAAAAAAATTGGAGTGTGTTTTTTTTCCGTTTATATCTCACTTTGATTTTTATTTTCTGTTCTGATGCTTCACCAGCTTCTTCTCCAGCCACAGCAACCGGAAGGAGTGACTTTCTGAAACCGAAAGTGCCAAAATCTTCATCGCTTCCAGGTTCATTAACCGGGTGGGAGATCAGACATTGGAGGTGTGCTGATCTCCCTCTAGTCCATTCGAAGACTGTGCCAGTCCTGGGCCTGCACGAGGGGCAGTAAAGCTGGGGAAGGCGCACGCTTTTAAGCTGCATACAAGTGATCCGGTGGCTGTAGAGCTGCCCGATCACTTGTATGTGAAAGCCATGTGACGGCTAAACCGAAGGTGACATGCTGCAGCAGCCGCGATCTTGGCGGTAACCACATTAGTAAATGACGTTTATATAGGTACGTCGGTATTATACTGATTAAGCTACAGAGCCGTGTTATATGGAAGTGTTTGGGGGTATGTGGATTACTTTACATCTCTGATGGCAGATCAGCCGCCCCGTACGCGTGTCCCAGCCGCCCCGTACGCGTGTCCCAGCCGCCCCGTACGCGTGTCCCAGCCGCCCCGTACGCGTGTCCCAGCCGCCCCGTACGCGTGTCCCAGCCGCCCCGTACGCGTGTCCCAGCCGCCCCGTACGCGTGTCCCAGCCGCCCCGTACGCGTGTCCCAGCCGCCCCGTACGTGCCGTCATATCATCATCATCATCAATAAGAACAAGAAAGGATAAAATGAACAAAATAAAACTTTATTTCTTTCAATAGAATCCCAAAATAAATATCGGTTGTTCCCGCTGCTGAGCCTGGAGGGTGACATCATTCCTGGGGCCCTCATACTGTGATGTCATTGGTTGAAGCTCTTGATGTCACCTCACAGGGGATGAGGTCAGTTGGGCGTCTCCTGGAGATTAGAATTGCTGTGAATGGAGACGGATCAGAGTTAGAATAACAGATCTGATGACACCGAACACATCAGAACATTGGATCAGCACCGGACCCAAGAGGATAAAAAAAAGGTTCTACACAGCAGTCTGTGTTGTAGATACATGAGACCCCTGGTACCCAACCATGCAGTCCTTAGGGGTTTTCAGGGCCCCTGCTGACAAGTAGTCTGCGTTTCTGTATTGCCGTGTAATAACCGCGACCTCTAATAGTCTCATCTAATCTGTGCCCAGTCTCTGACCATCTCTCCTGTACCATGTCTGCAGTCTCTGACCATCTCCTGTACCATGTCTGCAGTCTCTGACCATCTCCTGTGACATGTCTGCAGTCTCTGACCTTCACATGTATGGCCATAGTCTTCAATCTCTGACAGCTCTGTGTAGCATTACATTAGCTGAATATTACGGGGCCCTTTGTTGAGGTTCGGGGCTGCACCTGAGGCCCCTCTGCATTAGACGTCATATCTCGGCATCCGAGGACAGAACTGGCACTCTTTGCTAGAACAGCCAATCACGCTCTCCGTCTCCTTTTCCCATGCTGCTCTGCGAGAATATAATGGAGGCGCTTGTTGTTCTCAGCCGGCACCAAGAGCCAGATCTCCTTCCGGACAGTGTAATAAATGCGGCCCGGTGTTCTCGGTGAGAAGCCGGCTGTTACTTTCTCCGGCCCCGGTGACTCACTGCCCGGGAATGATGACATTTTGAGGCCACGTCTGCTCGATGGTGCTCAGCGTCAGCCCTGGACCCTCTCCAGCTACTGCCTGGAAGAGACCCGGAATCCTGGGAGGAGCCGATGTTGGGGGAACCAAGCCTACGGCTGCACTCACCTTCCCAGTCTTCACATGGCATCTACTTCCAAGTGACAGTCCCGAAATCCAGAGGCTTGTCCTTGGATATCCGGGCCCCCGGAAGCCACCCTTGTTCTAAATATTCATTTGTGTCGCATGTCACATTATGTCGCATCCCTGCGGGTTAGAGCTGCATTATGTGCAATGGCTAGTCTTATTTATAGGCGGCCGGGAGACTGTTTACATGTGTGACGCTGGCACTTGGCTTTACACTGGAAGCGGTCCGAGGGGCATTGTGCAAAAAAGGCTCTGGCAGGGAAAGGGTTAAAGGAAAGGGACAGATTAATGGAAACCCACAATCGGTACAGTCAAGTCAGAGGGACTGAGACCTCCTGATTGGTGGACTTTGTAGCAACATAAGAGGCAGATGATGAGCATCTCCAAAAGTGGATCTCTCAGCAATGGCAGCCTCCGAATGTCCTCAGTACACCTCCTTTAACCCTTTCTTGACCAGGGTTTTGCTTACTCGGCCAGAAATTTTTTAGCAGAGTCGCTTGACTCGACGATAACTCTATGGCTGATTTTTCTGATTGACAAGCAGGTCTGGGAACTAAGAACACGCACAGTTGCACATTCCTAGTTACCTGCCCCATGGGTAATTAATGGTCTCATGGGAAGGGGCGTTTTATTTTTGGTCTTATAAGGCTGTATTGTGGTCATAAAATACACAAGGGGGGGGGGGTCCATTTGTACTACGGAGCTGGTCCTGTAATGGGGATATGATGTCATTTACATGCAGAATCCACCATTCTCTTACCTTAGTACTCTGTCTCCCTCTTGTGGACGGCAATGGAAGTGACTCTCCAGTGAATTCAGCACTTCGCAGGGATACTGGTCTTTGTGAGCCCCTATGTAGTTCAATACATACTCATCTGTGTCAGTGATGATGAACCTGTGCCGGAAAACTGGAGCAATGGAGAGGAGATGTGGGGTTAGCGATGATTCAAAAGGATATTCATCACCTTCAACCTCTCAAAGTCTTTACCGAGATAAGAACCAACCAATCGGCTGCAAAGGTATCTTAAAGCATTTCCAAGACTAAAGACCTCACTGTACTGGAACTATAGAGAAGAAGCATTGTCGCCCTAATGCGGAACTACATAATACCTCCCCTGTCTCCATGACATGAGGCGGGGGTGGGGGCAGGATTCTGTAGTCCTCAGAGATAGTTGGGAACAATATAATTGTTAAGAGTAGATTTCTGGCAGGATTGACCGTTATTTATTTTTTGCTTGTCGAACAAAACAAATTATTGTTATATTTAAGTCAGCGAATAAAAGAATGCCATCCGACATCTCCTATAGGATGCCCCCAGTCTCCGACATCTCTTATAGCATGCCCCCAGTCTCCAACATCTATAGCATGTCCCCAGTCTCCGACATCTCCTATAGCATGGCCCCAGTCTCCGACAACTCCTATAGCATGCCCCCAGTCTCCGACAACTCCTATAGCATGCCCCCAGTCTCCGACAACTCCTATAGCATGCCCCCAGTCTCCGACAACTCCTATAGCATGCCCCCAGTCTCCGACAACTCCTATAGCATGCCCCCAGTCTCCGACAACTCCTATAGCATGCCCCCAGTCTCCGACAACTCCTATAGCATGCCCCCAGTCTCCGACAACTCCTATAGCATGCCCCCAGTCTCCGACAACTCCTATAGCATGCCCCCAGTCTCCGACAACTCCTATAGCATGCCCCCAGTCTCCGACAACTCCTATAGCATGCCCCCAGTCTCCGACAACTCCTATAGCATGCCCCCAGTCTCCGACAACTCCTATAGCATGTCCCCCAGTCTCCGATAACTCCTATAGCATGTCCCCCAGTCTCCGACATCTCCTATAGCATGGCCCTAGTCTCCGTCTCCGACAACTCCTATAGCATGCCCCCAGTCTCCGGCAGCTCCTATAGCATGCCCCCAGTCTCCGACAACTCCTGTAGCATGCCCCCAGTCTCTGACAACTATAGCATGTCCCCCAGTCTCCGACAACTCCTCTAGCATGTCCCCCAGCCTCCGACAACTCCTATAGCATGGCCCCAGTCTCCGACAGCTCCTATAGCATGCCCCCAGTCTCCGACAACTCCTATAGCATGCCCCCAGTCTCCGACAACTCCTATAGCATGCCCCCAGTCTCCGACAACTCCTATAGCATGCCCCCAGTCTCCGACAACTCCTATAGCATGCCCCCAGTCTCCGACAACTCCTATAGCATGCCCCCAGTCTCCATCAACTCCTACAGTATGTCTGCAGTATCTGACCATCTCCTGTTGCACGTTTGCAGGCTCACACAGTTATCTGTAGAGAGGAATCAGCTTCATGGTAAGTAACAGCATGAAACCTGAATACTGGCATACGTGGAAGCTTTACTGTCATGCCGAGGTTCAGCTATAAAGTAGATCAATCTATAAGGTAGAGCACCTCTGTAAGGACAGTTCTATAGAAAGGAAAAGGGACGAACCTTCCACCACGGAGCCAATTTTGAAGTCTGCCGGCTCATAGTAGTTGGGATTATCGATAGAAGAACCTGGTTTGGGGACTCTGGTCCTTTCTAGAAATTTCCCTCCAATAATCCCAGAATTGCGGACCTGAGGCTCGAAGATGCTGATCATGTCATTGGAGAGGAAGTAAGACAGGATGAAACGTCTCGTTTTTTCTTCAGGGTTCATTGAGTCCTGCGGAGGAGATATCAGACTTCTGTTAGAGCTAATGCAGAGTACACGGGCCTTTGTTTGGCTTTAATCTACATCTCACCCTCATGCAAGTCAATGTAAATGCACAAGCAACTTGCAGCAACTCAGAGGTGGCTTGAAGAAGGCCAGAACAAAAAAAAAAGTCAAAACAATCCATAAACATACGGCAATTGACTTGCTTCTTAGTCTGACGCCTGCTCCAGCTGCAAATGTTCTCCCTCCTTTACCAGCAGGAGAGAAGAGAAATACCTTCAGGTTATGGGGAACATGTGACGACGCTGGTGCATGGTGATTGGCTGCTCAGGCATCCAGTGCTGTCACATGGAGGAGAGAGTAAGATCCTCAGCTCTATGTAAGCTCCAAGCAGCAACTTATACAGGACTCCCGACAGTAAGACCCTGTTCACATATAGCGACATACCTTTGCAGCGGCCGGGATAGCGCGACTTTCGGGGCGACGTTCCAGCGACGATCCAGCGACGGTAGCGCGACCTTCTCCGTCGGGCTCCATAGAAAAAAAGCAAAATCGCGCAAAATCCGCCGAAAAAACGGTCCGGTAGAAGCGACCGCGACGCGCGACATGGAGTTAAGACATCTCCATTGAATAGCATTGGCCGGCGACTTCTCGCAAAAATGTGCGCTATCGCGGCGGAAATCGCGTGACAATTCGCTATATGTGAACGGGGCCTGAAAAGCAGCGGAAGGGGAACATGGATCTGGGAAGGGTGGCTTTTAAATGAACATGTCGCTTTTTCCTCCATACCCAAATCACAAGTTCACTTCAAAACAATCTATAGGTCAGTAAGGGGGGATCATACCGCATGTGCCTTCAACGGTACATGCGGTATGATCCCCATTTTCAAACAATGCTTGCAATAATCAGTCTGACCACTAGGTGGTAATGAGTACCGTTGTAGGCACATGCAGTCACACAAGGAAAATCTCCCTTTTCCTCTGGCATTCTGGTGGGATCATCAGGTATTATTCTTACCAGTCTGGCTTCGTATCTCAGGACTTTGTGGTCGTTCTCCAACATTTTCATCACGTCTTTCTTGGGCGGCTTAGGAATCAGAGTCAGACAGTTCTGAAGAGAGTCCTCCAGCAGGCCGAAACCATTGTAAGGTGGGATCTCCTGGTGACACCGAGGAAGAGAAATACAGATAATAGAGCATGGGGACAACAGGAGGAACCATCACCCCCTATAACTTCCAGTCAACAAAGCTGTGGGGTGCACATGGATTTACAGGGGTACACGGGAGTCATTAGAGGACATTTGTGTCCATTGGTTAGATTCCTCTTTACTTCCTGTCTTGGAGATACAACAGGAAGTGAGATTACATTTTCCCAAAGTGAGGAGGAATACAGTCTTTGATATTTGTCAGGAGAACAGGTTAGAGATCTGGTGGAATTTCCTTTTATTTTATGACAGAGACCATCCCCCATCTATGTTTAACATTGCCATACTAAACCTGAATGGTGCTTACCCAGTTCAGCTCTCCCCCTGTACACCCCTAGGGCCGGATTCACCATTAGGCACGTCGCTACAGGCACCATCCATAGAGTGGCACCGTGCAGGTACCGACTCTGCCTAATTCCCGGCGCCGAGAGTTGACTTTTCTCCTCTCCCCAAACACATTTCCCTGCCAGCTCTTAGCAATCTATAATGCTCTGGCCGGCGTCCAGCCTAGCTCCTGGGATGCTGGCCAGAGCATCACTGGTTGCTAAGAGCTGGCGGAGAAATGTATAAGGGCTCATAGCAACCAGAGCTGGCAGGGAGATGTGTATGCGGGCGGGACGCTCTGGCTGGCATCCCACCCGACTGTGTGGGATGTCAGGGACAGGGGCGTCCCGAGGCTCTGCTCCGGGTGACACCCCACCGTGAAGACATCGCGCATGCGCATTCGTTTTATTGACGCCTACCAGCGGCCATCTTGGTGATGGACGGCCAGCAAAGAGAGGAGGGGACGTTCACCCGGCAGGATAAGGTAGGCCGCAGGGTCCCCTCCTCTCTCCCGATCCATGACCGATTGCCCGACTTTTCATAGGGGGTGATACCAAAACGACTGACAATCATTATGGTGTCAAT